CCCCAAAACCCCAAAACCCCAAAACCCCAAACAGCCAGCCTCCAATTGAATTAACTGTCTCGAGCTTTACTAGTTCCTCTAACAAAAGTTGACTTCAGTTGTTGGGCTCAATTTGGCCATGAAATGCTCGAAAGCCTCTTTGCTGTCTATATAATAACTTAGCGATGAACACGAACAGATGGGAAGAAGCATATTTTCACTTAAGACAGAATCAAGGACTTGGAGACAGTCTCAGTCCAAACTTACCTTGGATGTCACAATTCACCAGGCTGAGCTTGCCTACTGTAGATCCTTTGTGAGCCTCCTTACTGAGGCATGAGTCTGGTTCAGAGTCAAAGTCTGCATCAATCTTACAGTTGTTCAATATAAGATGCTCGATTGTGTTGCAAGCGACCAGAATCCTTTTGAACTGAGCCATTGAGATTGTGTAGTTGCGTAAAGTCAAAGTTTTGGTTTTGAAAGCGTTCTGAGTGATCAATGACAAATGCCATCCAAGCTTAGAAGTCAGAGTATTTCAAACAAGGTTCAAATTCTTTAATTGGTGTTTCATAGGATAGAAATAGTTGCGATAAACCTTCCTTGACTCATTTGAATTCTTTGTAATGTACAAACGATCAACTTTGTACAATCTTAAGGCTTTGAACTTTGCTAAGAATAGCTTGAACTTAGTATTAACATAGAAGTATTCTTGTTGATAATAAGCCCTCCTCTTATCGACGATTTCAGACCCAGTTGCAAGTACCATCCGATCGAGTGCCTCTTCACTCTGCAGAAGGAGTCGCTCAGCTTCTCCAGCATCTATACCAGATTGGTTATGGTTAAGGCAAAATTATAGCTGATTTGAAGGATATATTAAACAAGGCCAGTCTCAGTATAAATCTACCTACATGGTTTTAAATAAGAAGATCAAAAACAAAAAAAGACTCGATCTCTTCCATATCTACAGAATATTAATTTTCGGAGGTTCAATGACGAGTAAGACACTTACTGACCAGAGCTGTCTGGATGGACTCCTTCCAAGCTCTCAAGTTTGTTGACAATTGCTCTTGGTATTTGTCCACGAATGTGGTGTAGGCATGGTACTCACAAAATCATGTTGAGGTATGAATAATCACTCTTCACACTTGGCAACGAAATTCTGCATTCATAGTTAATTTTATTAATAATTCAGAATTATCCAATATTTATACTCCAAGTTGGGGTTTTGGGGTTTTGGGGTTTTGGGG